CCCCGGCCTGCGCCCCAGGAGAGAAGCGGCCGCCGGGGCAGATGCCGCTTCTGCGTCGTCGAAGCCGGAAGCGTCGTCCTCCGGGCGGCGGCAGCAGCAGCAGCAACAGCGGCAGCGGCAGCGGCGGCAGCAGCAAGAAGTCCCCACGGAACCGCCGCCGCCCAAAAAGCCGTCCCCGGGCCCGCCCCCCGGCGCGGTCCTCGAGCGCTGGATGTTCGACGTCTCGTCCTTCCCCGCCTCGGCCCGGGGGCCGCGGCGATGCGTACCTTCTGGCAGGACCGGGCCGCCGAGGCCGCCCGCAAGAGGCGCGCGAGGCGCGAGGCCATGAGGAGCGCCGGCATGGCCGTGGACAGCGACGAGGACGGCGACTTTGACGACGAGGACGTGGAGCTGCTGGACGATTATGACGACGACGACGACGACGACGACGACGACTACGATGACGACGACGGCGGCGGCGGCGGCGGCGGCGGCGGCGGCGGCGGCGGCGGCGAGGACGGGGACGAGGTAATGCGAGACGTGCAGCCAAACGGAAGTGACAAGAACGAGCCCGTCAACTGGGCCGACGTGAACCAGCAGCTCCGCGGCGCCCTGGCCCGGCTCGCCCACGCCGGCTCGAAGCTGGGCCACCTGCCTCCGGGGTGCACCTTTACCATCGCCGTCGAGCTGCGGGACAAGGCGCCGCCGCCAATGGAGGTTCGTCGGCTGATACGGTTTTTTTCCCCTTTGTTTAGGGTGAAATCAATAAGAGACAAAGAGAGAAAAGAAAGACTTGCTAACTGACCCGCCTGCCTGCCACGGCAACAGCATCCCCAGCCGTGGATCCCATCCCCGCCTAGCCTGCAGCCGCCGACGGCAAAACGGCCCCGGAACGGTCGGGACCTGGGCGGCGCCAAGACGACCGCCGTGCGCTCCGTCGAGGCCGGCCCGCTCTTGTTTGAGTGCTGGGTCGAGGAGGGCAAGGCCAAAGACCGTCTCGAGGAAGTCGCGGTTAAGGCGCAGCGGAAACCGCTAGCTCGGGGGAAATGAACACATTCATTCTCTCCCTCCATTTTCACACCGAAGCCCAATGGCCGGATATGCAACACAAAAGACGTTCCCAGCATCAACAGCGATTTCGAACAAGATGCTATCCGTCAGGCTCCGGGAGACCAAACTCGGGCAACCTCCAGCATGTTGAACCTCCGCATATTCTGGTCTTCAGTATCGTACAATTCGTACATGCCACCACAACCGCCGCCTGGGCATAGAACATGTCCAAAGAGAAGGGGCTTAGGAGGCAAATCGGACATCAACGCCACAAGCCCGCTCATACAAACAAACCCATGTAAGTAGCTCCTCCCAGGAAAGAGAAAAAGGGAAATGGCAATGCTTGACAGGTAGGAAGAAAAAAAATATAAAAATAAACAAAGCATGCTGTCATCCTTCAGTCGTCACAGCGGACTTTACCCCTGACTCTCTCCACCCTTGATAAGAGCGCGCAGGCTCACAATGTCCCGCTTCAGACGAGCGTTGTCCTTCTTCACGCGGGCCGTCTCCTCGCTCTGGTCCTTGAGCCTGGCGACCAGCTCCTCCTTTTCCTCGCGGCCCTTGCCCTTGAGCGCCTTGACGATCTTGCCAAGCTCCGAGTTGAACTTCTCGTACAGGAGCTCGTTCTCGGCCATGGACTCCTTGTACAGCTGGTCGATGGCCCGCACCTTGGCCTCACTTGCCTTGAGCGCCGCATCCATGTCACGCTCCATGGCCGCCTGCCGCTCAGCCATCTCGGCCATCATCTGCGGCACCCGCTCCTCCAGCGACCGCACGCTGGCCGATATCTTGCGCAGGTCCGTCGTGCCCGACCGCGGCAGCGAGCCGTTCACCCGCGCCATATCCTCGGTTATGCGCGAGAGCTCCGACTGGAGCGACGCGTCCACCTCATCCACCGCCTTCTTCTCCGTCTGCAGCCGTTCTCGAAGCTTCTGGGGCGACTGCAGCTTGAGCTTCTGAGGTGAGTTCGGCCTGCTCAGGGTAGACTGCGAGCGCGTTGGCGAGTCCGGACGCGCGCTAAAGTTCCGCGATATCCTGAGCGTTGGAATCTGAGAGCTCGATAGGCTTTTTGAGTGCGTCAGTGGCATCTCCAACGTCGTCGGCGAGGTCGCGGCTAGTCTCTGCCCCGGTTCCGCCATGTTCTCCTTAAGGCGTGTTGGAAACAGGCCTGGCGACCGGGGGCTGACGGGGATCTTGGAGGGTGTCGGAATCTTGGTTGTTACGACGGTGCTCGAGCCTGAAGAGTTGAATTTCTCCGACGTTTGCTTGTTGGGTCGCAGTGGCGACAGGGGCGGATCTTCAAGCGTAGCCTCCGCCATCAAGCTCTTCAAGTCGGACAGGGAGCTGTGCCGCTTCTTCTTGAGGGTTTTATCTGGCGGTACCTCACCGGTTTCTGGCTCTCCGATAGTCTCGAGCCGGTGTGAGCTCGAGGGGCGCATCATTATGTCGTCAAATGCGCCAGCAACAGGAGGCCGGTCTCGGGATCCGGGCCGCCGCAGCTTATTGGGGCTTGGTTGCTGCGTCATGGTCATGCTCGCGCTCATATCTATTGATCGTGCGCGATTTGAGGACGCCTTGGACAGGCTGTGGCTCTCGCCGGTTGCCGGGTTCCTGCCATGCTTGCTCAGGCTCCTCCACATCGATGGCCGCTCTGACTCTTGCTTGCTATTTTGCCGCAGGAGGTTGTCAAAGCCAAACTTTCGCCGGATCGATGATGTGTTGGACGTCAGAGAACCCGTTGTCGACTTTTGGCCCCTCGTCATCGAGTTCATCGACGCCTCAAAGTTGGATGTGCGGAAATTGGAGGAGCCGAATCCGACCTCCTCAAAGATCCGTTCGCAGTCCTCGACCAGCCGGTCGAGGAGGTTAATATAGTTATTGGGGTTCCCGTCAAGAGCTAGTAGCTCTGCAAAGGCAACCGTCATCGCCCCACGGTCACCGTCGTTTGCGCAACCGTCGAGCAGATCAGCAAGCAGCTTGATCAGGGCCGTAAACGCTCTCCGGTTCTGAGGCGCCATCTCAGCGAAGAGATAGTTGACGAAATCGGCGAAGTCGCCGGGAACCCTCCGCGAAGCCCTCTCCTGAAGGGCGTCCAAGGCTTGCACCGTCATTATGGGACCCATCTGCTCTCGCCAGGCAATGCGCGTGAACTTTTCAAACGCCGCGAAGATGACCTCGGAAGGCAGGTCGGCCGACGCGTCCCAGTCGAACGGAAACTCGATGAGCCTGTTGTACAGATCATTGACCGACAGCTCGTCGGCGACCGACCTGTTCAAAAGCATCCTACCGACAAATTGCCCTTTCCTGGACTGCAGTGCTGCGACATAACCGGTGAAGGTCTGCTCCAGTCGAACAAGGGGGTTCTCTGGCCTATCGTCGTCGGTGCGGATAGCGTCCCTGTCCCTGATGGAGCCGCTGTGCGAGGTTATCTCGTGCCGGCTGGCAGACGAGCTGTTTGAGCGGCTGAGAGGAGGTGGGAACAGGGTTGGGACGTTGGTAAGGGGTGTCCTTGGATGCTTTGCGGGTGGTGCAGACAGGTCTGTAGTTGAGGCGCCGCCAAGAATACTTGAGAGCAACTTGACTGGCGACGAGGCCAAGAAGGATTTCGTCTTCTCTGCACGCGACGACAGGCTCAGCCCGCGTAGAATTTTGGTATAGCTCGAAACCAGGGCTGGGACCAAAGAAGGGTTGCCCACGTTGAACTGGCTGCTGAGCAGTTGAATTACTGTGATTCTGTGTCAGTACCAGGCCTATCACAATCAGAAGCAGCAAGCACCCGCAGATGTCTGTCACGCAAGGAATTAGTGAACTCTTACTTCGCCTAGAAATTGTCGACAAGAAATCCTCAAGAACCACATCGTCTGTGAAGTGTTTCCCGTTGAGGCCGAGCGAGTTGACCGTGACCTTGTCGCTCCTGTCGCTCGTCCTGACCTCAATTAGGATCTCGACGCCGTAGTGGCCGACAGGGGCCGACTTGGTGCCCTTGTCAGTGTCGAGCACGATGCGTATGGCGGCCGGCTCCCTCCGTCCCTCGATAAGTTGCTCGGCGGCCTCCTGGAAGACGGCGGCATGCAGGCCTAGGTTGTTGTCCTGCATCCTCACAGACCTGAGCGTCCAGGCCGGGTCCTCCCGCTCCTTCTCCGAGAAACGCGCCTCGATCCGGGACCGGACGATGTCCTCGCCCAGGCGCGCTGCCCTGCCCTCGAACGACTCCTGGAGCAGAAAACAGCGCGATGTGACGGCCTTGCTTGTGACATACTCGCCCGAGTGCGCTCCCTTCATCTCCCGAGTCGAAGTCATCCAGATCATGCGGCCGTCGGCCGACTCGGTAAAGCGCACGTCTGCGATGCTGTGCCACCCGGCGAATGCAAACTCGTAAGAGCCAGGCCCACCCGCCGCGTTGGTCATCGAGACAAGGAGACCTGCGGGCGAAGGCTTGTCGACCTCACGAAGCAGGTCACGCCCGTTCAGCGTCGAGCTCGACTTCTTCCTGACCATTACCACGCAGTCGGAAAACACGAGAAACATGCCCGCGCCGTCCTGATCGGCTCTGTCTGGCGAAAAATGAGGAGGGGTGAGCTCAACGAAGTCAGCAGCCATGACCAGTCTGCCCTGTGGCTGTAGGTCCACGGGCCAGCTCTCGATGAAGTTTCGTAGCCGGTGCGTCACGTGGGGCTTGTCTCGATGGGGATCATCCATGGAGCAGATGTTTGTGATTATGTCCCGGGCACGCAGCATGAGCTGCAGCGCCGGGTGCGTTATGGGCAGTGAGCCCACGATCTGGTCAATGAATAGGCTGTAGCGTGGCAGCCTCTGAACGGGCTCGATGAGGATCGAGCGGACGGCCTGCTCGCCCGTCTGCACAACACGCTGGCGAAAGCTCGACTGTTTGTCCAGAAAGGAGTTCAGAAGCTGCGGGAAGTGCTGGCTGGCACGAATGTAGTCCTGGTAGCAGTCTGTGAACTTGGGGAACCATTCGAGAAAGACTCGCGCCATAGCAAGAGCCCCGCTAGGGTCCTTCACTCTGACGGAACCTCCTAGTCGCAAGCCCGCCGCCGAGTGGTGTTCCATGTCATTCAGCGCGTCCTCTTCCGTGTCGTCCATGACCTTGCGCAGCTCCTGCATGAAAGCCGTATTGACCTGGAGGATCCGGTCGGCCGAGGTGGGGAACAGCTTGTTCAGCTCCTCCTCCGAGGGGCTCAGGCTCTCTGATGAGCGCTGTTTGGCACTCTGCCGGAAATCCTCGGCAATGTGGCCAACAAGCTCGTTCAGCTTGAGGACGTAGCGCTCTTCCGTGTCGACCAGCTCCCTCATCTTCATCCGCAGCTCCACCTTTTGCTCCTTAGTGTACGACTTGCTCCTGTTGAGCGAGCTCGGCTTGGACGGTGCCCTACGGAGTTTGGACGTGGGCAGGAACACGGGCTCGCCAAAGAGCTTGACGAGCGCCGTGTAGGTCCCGTACTGGCGCAGGGTCGGGTCGAGGATGTCGTCCTCATCCTCGGGCATCTCCTCCAAGTCCTCGGGCCGCAGAGGGACGATGGCGCCTGGTGGCAGGACGAGGTCGATGTCGACGTTACTGACATGCTGGGTCTGGAAGGCTGTGTGGAAGGTGTTGATGATCCCAGCCGTGGTCTCGGCCTTGACCATGGCCTTAGCCAGGTCGGCGGCATGCTGTTCGCCAAAGAGGGTCGGGGCGGAACCGGGGCGGCGGCCGCGGGTGGTGGGGTACTGGTTCTTGAGGTGTGTCTTGACGACCTGTGGCAGCTCGGTAAAGTACTTGAACAGGCCGAAGGCGAGCCCGCGGCATATCTCGTCGCCCTGGAACTCGCGCGGGAGGTAGTTGACGGCGCCATAGAAGGGAGAGTTGGGCGAGATTGTGATTCGCGGGAAGGACTGGAGGCCGGCGGGGCTGCAGACGTGGACCTGGATGCGGGAGCTGTTGAGAGTGTAGTTGGCCGTGGTCGAGGGCCCGTGGAAGACGAGGACGGGCAGGTGGCCAAGGAGCGGGTCGACGGCGTGGTAAAGAGCGACATGCTCTGGCGAGAGCGCCAGCTCGTCGGTAACACGGACCATGGTCGGTTACGGGGCCGCTCGCATCATCAGGCCTTGAGGGCGGGCGGGCGGGCGGGTTGGGCCTTGCGGCAGGCGTGGTAATGGACCGATCGCCAACGAGGGCCGAGCCGGGCGTGGGATGCTTGGATGCGAGTTTCTCAGCCACGCAGGACGATGACTGGACTGGGGGACGTCAGGGGTGGCGGTTGGGAGGCAGCAGGAGCGAGAAGTGGGACGGAGTGCGCACGCCTCAGAAAGTAAACATCCTGGCATGCACAGCGATGTGCGCCGACTGCTGCAGTGTGACTGTGGTCTTGTGTCTTGTGTCGTGGTTGGCCGAGTGCTGAGCGCTTGAGTGCTGCGGGCGGTTGAGGCGGCCACTCTCCGATTCGGCGGTGGGCAGTCGAGGCCTGACGGTGCGAGTAAACAACAAAAACAATCGGGCTTGGAGGAGAAAAAAAAAGGCCCACGCTAACAAAAGCGGAACCAACGCCCAACCAGCAACGGGAATTAAGTCGAGGCAATGCTTTATCGTTGGACTGATGCAATTGCACCCACCCAGGGACTCCACAGATATTGAAGGGTGCCTGTCAAGAGTCGTCAAAATTCGGTCCTGTCTGTCAGGCGACAAACTCCAATCGCACGACTGAGGCTCCCAGTCTTTTTTTTTTTCTGGCAGGGCGAATTGACGCTGGATTGGGAGCCCAGGCGCGTTGTGCTCGGTACTTTCCAATGTAAACACAAACCGTGAGCTGGTGTCACAGGCGGGTTGACCCCTGTCTGTCAAATGTGATCGCTACCCCGCCTTCCCGTCCTGGGCAGCTCCGCCAGCTCCAAGTGTGGAATTGGAGCGATGGAAGTTCGGCGGCAATTGACTGAAGTGAACCTCGATGTGTTGAAAGCCAAAGATACGACATCCACACGCACATCCTCCAACATGTCCAGCCAGGACAACAAAGGAATCCCTTTCTCGCATGCCCTGGATGGCGTCGGCTACAAGCTCCTCGAGCTGCCTCCAGAACTCGTCACCCTGCTCGAGGGAGAGAATCCACCAACGTTAGTCCACATACGCATCCCCAAGCGTCCAATTCTTGGGTTCATTTGATCGTTTTTGATTCGTCTCACCAAACAAACACACGCACGTCTGTGGCGCATCCCAGATTGAAGCTCAAGTCCTCGCCCACGGCCGGCCTGCTCGAGGCGGCTGGCAAAACGTATTCGCTCCGGCAAAAGAATACGTCCAACGCCCTCATCATTTTGCGGCCGGAGGAGGAGGCTGTCGCCACCACGGAGTTGTCGGTGGACCCCGCCCAGGAGTCAAAGGAGGTACCTCCGTCTTCGGGGATGCCAGAGGTTGGCATGCGCGCCTTCGCCAGCGTGCACGAGACTGTTGAGCTCTTGCCCGAGGCCGGCTCGGTACCATCAGCAGCAACGTCGGCAAAGGGGAAATGGCACGAGAAGTTCGGAAAGACCAGGTAGTAGCTGCTCCGGCAGGGCCATCGCCAGCATTCGTAGATATTATTCGAGAATATCTGTCACTTGTTGCCCTTGGATGCTAGTTTTTCAGTGCGATTGGTTTGCATCAAGCCTCTCGACTTGACAGCCAAAACGGATGAAAGATTCTGAGATTGAAAAACGAACAATCGAAGGGAGAAGGAAATGAAAGAGAAGGAGAGATGGACCCCCAACCCCGACACCATTTCCATGCAATAATCAATCCCCAAGAAAGCGCTAAAAGCCATGGGCGCCTTGCACCAACCCTATCCTCATATGACCAAGGAGACGTGCTAAAAGAAGCGAGTAAGCGGGAAATATGACACTGCTACCCTCCCATGCGCCAGAGGTGATTCAAACCATACAACTATGAGTACACAGTTCGCCAAAAGAAAACACAATCTCTCAGAGAGCCGCAGGTCACGTTAGCATCCGGAGGAGAAGCCTGTGAGCGCCTAGTGGTGGCCACGTTGGAGTCGCAAGGGACCGCCACCTGGCGCCATCCCGTCGTTCAGGAGGCGGCGCGCATGACTTTGGTTATTGCGGGCGTGGCCTGTTATTGGGGTGGCAGCGGGGAACTGCAGAAGGGTTCCTGGGAGGGGCAGCCACTGGGGCCATTGTCAGCCATCTCACAAACATGAAAATGCTCAGATACGCTCGGGACACATTCCGGCTATCCGTCTGGCAATTAGACTAACCTACTGGCGGGGGACCGTTGGCAAGGACCCGGCGGGCCCCCGGAGGTGAAGCACCCAACTGGATAGGGCGCTCCCGTGACCCTCGGAGCGGCATGTCCATCTGGGCGAGGGCGCCAATCCGGAGCGGGTTCTCGGCAGCGCCAAGGCGACCGAGGGCGGCGCGCCGCAGTATTTCATTTCGAGCCTGGAGAGCCTGGGAAGCCTGGTCTATCCCGGGGGCTCTGGCGGCATTGGGGTGGTGCACTGGAAGGGCGGCTCTAGCCAGGGCCCGCGCTCTCGCGCCCCTGGCTGCCTGTGCAGCCAGCTCAGCCCGTGCTTGTGCAGCCTGTGCAGCCCGCGCAGCCCGCGCGTTCATATCCCTAACAGCCCGCGCGTTCATGTCCCTAACAGCCAGTTCAGCCTGTGCAGCACGTGCAGCCTGTAAATTCCGTGCAACCCTCTCTCGGACTGCCTCCATGTCCGGATTGGGAAGTCCCATTTGCCAGCCGATTTGTCCGCGCATTTGCCCTTGCAGTTGTTGTGCCAGTCCGGGCACGAAGGGCAACGCTGGCGGCATTACTGGCAGCATCAGCTCAGGATCCACCATGGGAAGTGCCGGTACCGGGTTCTGGCGGGCTTGGCCGCCCACAGCACGGCGATGCAGCGGCACATCCCGTTGCACCGGGGGCACGCCTGGGTACACTCCTAAAGCCATATTTGGAATTGGAGCCATAACTGGAAGTGGTGGTGCTAGGGGCAGGTTTTCTTGCTGCCTATGCGGACCAGCAAGTTGGTTGACTATGCCGGCGAGGTTGGGCAGAATGTTCCCGTACATCATATGGCGAAGGCGAACATGGCGCGCTACTGCACTCAAGGTCAGCCGGGGAAAGAAAGTTTGCCGGGATAGAGGCAAGAAATGGAGACCATCTTTGGGAACTTTGCTGGCACCAGCGCGATCGGCGCATGCTATGCTAAGCCTCTAGAGAGCCCACTAACCGTTGAGCCCACGTTCCGGTGGGTGCCGGGCGTCGGACGCTTGTCGGCGCTGATCCTCGTCATGCTTGACCCTATCCGAGACCATAATGTCTAAAAACTCGGCGTCGACCTCGGGGTTTGCTTGTGCCACTTCCTGGCGCGCCTTGGCCTCGGCTGCAAGAACCTCATCGCTATGCCGCTTCTCGACGCTCTCAAAGAGAGGACAGTTCCCGCTCTTCCCGCCGCGTGATGCGTCGTCAAAGTGGTTGTAGGTGCAAGACTTGTGGCAGACATAACACTGAACGTTGTGGCAGCCCGCCCGAGTGCAAGTCATCTTGTTGCAGCCGTTCTCCTTGATGAACGGGGTCCCGCATTTGTTGCACTTCCGAATCAGTGCTGCCGACATGGCTTCTTCGATGGCACGCCGGGCCGAGTGGCCGCTCTCGCGCATAGCTTCCTGGCAGGTTTGGGGGATATGCGTCTCTCTCCTGCACAGGCGGCAGCTCGTGATTTCGCACTCTGGGTTCTGGCACCGAAACTCCTTGTTGATCTCGACTTCGGGATACTCTGCCGCAAAGGGGCAGAATGGGCAGGTCTCGAGGTTTTCGATCCCTGCGAGCCGGAGTGCCTCTTCCTGCTCGATGCGCTCGAGGGCAACGACGAGCTTGCTGTCGAGGAACAGCTGCTTCTGGTCGACAGAGAACCCAGCTGCACACCCATCGATCGACATACAGGAAAGAGTGTGCTTGGAGAGTCCGATTTGTGTCTCCGCCATGTGTTTCGCACAATCCCTACAAAACAACTTTCCGGTGAGATAATTTGACGTTAGTTAGGATATCCTTCTCCTTTGATGACGGAACTAAACGCCCATCAGAGGCTACCGAGTCGCGGGATATCATTGGAGTGAGACGGCAGAGGTTTTGCACTGCAGGAATAAGAACCTACATGCGGATCATCGCCGTTGCAGTACACCATGCGGTTTTGGGCACACTCAGAGTAGCAGCACCCGCAATCGATGACTGTGCCTTCAGCTCGAGCCAGTTCGAGGTTTTCTTCTTCCTCTCTCAGCCTCTGCTGTTCTGCCTCGTTCTGACTGCGCCGTGCACGAGTCACCAGGCGGGAGGCAATGAGTTCCTCGAGTGCCTGCCGTTGTCCAGGAAGCGCTGCGGGCATCATGGACTTGATTGTCTCGTCATTGAACTTGTCCGATTCCCTCGCGCGCTTGTTTAGCTGGAAAGGCTTGTTGCCAGCGTCCCAGTCGTCGAGGAGATTGCTGGCTGCCAAGTATGTGGCAAATAGGCTGCTCCCGTTTTCATCAAACAGCCGATACAGCTGCTTGCAGGGCATCTTGGGAAAGCACTCTGAAAGAATTTTCCTCCTACATGATGGCAGGTATGTGAGCAACGTGACGAGGAAACATGAGGAACCGGCTCACTCAGCAGGGCCAGCAAGGTTGAGACTTACGATGTGTCGCAGTACGTAGGTAGCGCGGACGCATCTTCGCATTGCTGCCTGTGGTTCGCGCTGGAAAACCGTTTAGAAAGCTGTGCTGCGTCGTCAGTTTCGTCGCTGGGTGGCTCTCGCTTCCGCTTGAGGTTGGCTTTGGCCCGCCTGGGGTACGATTTGCCATCATCCAGTTGGTCCAAGATATGAGAAATGACGACTTCGCTGTTGAAGTCCTTCTCTTTCGTGATCGAGTCCAAGTAGTTGGGACAGATGTCAGGAAAGACAGAGATGACAGCGTCTGCGCAAGTCTCTTGGCCGTCGCCAGTGATGTCGATTATTTCCGCCATGCCTGCCACACGATGCCGAGTTCCCAACTCCTTCTCAGTCGGGAGGGGGCAGCAGGTCGTCTCGGGAGAGACAAATAGCCTGTATCCGCTGACCAGAGCGTGAGCTAGCCGGTTGTCTTGCCAGGAGGGATCGCAACTGGCAAAGGGTGCTGCCCCTCTCCGAGGTGGTTTACTTTGGTTGCTGCCCTTGATCAGGCGACGTCTTTCCTTGTGCAAGAAGCAAACGAGTATCGCTGGGAGAGTGCCTCAGGCTATAGGTTGGTGCAGATCAGAACGTCCAGGTCAGCAAAAGAAAGTCAAAGAGAGATACACAAGAGGTGAAGAGAGATGTGGGTCTATGAACCAGCTCAACTTGAGCCGGGTCAGTGACCAAACGCGGCACCGGACCTTTTTAGGCAGGCCGTCTCTAAAAGGTAGGCCAATTATGTGCTTTTTTTGGCCATTTTTACATGCCACACGTAGGTTTCTACCCAGGTGAAAATTTTGAAGGCGGGATGAAAGATAAATCAAGAAACAGAAACTGAAAGATAAAGAAGAGGGCCTAGGCTCTTGGCCGCCAAATCGCAGCCCATGCACCAGTCAGGCTGGTTCGCGAGCAGGGCAACCACACCAGGAAGCCCAATGGCGGCCACAGTCACGCAATTTGGCCTTGTGCAGGCTTCACCGAGCGAAGGCAGATGTAGGCAAGAACCCAGACGATTGCCCTCCTTTCGATGCGGGCACAGGGTCTATGCCGGTCCGTGGTAGCTCGCAATCCGCTTAGACTGCCTGCGGGAGGTTGCCCTGACAGCTCCTTTTGAGCTCGGCCTAGTGAGATGGTGATGGAAATAGAGGACGAGAAAAAAAATCCCACCCGTCTAGCCGGCCCCATCAAGCGCCAGAATATGCCCATCTGCAAAGGGAAGCAACGACGAGACGGATCGAAAGCAAACGGGCGAGAAAGAACCCACCGCGAGATTCGGCTAGCGCCCGACAGCGTCCCTTCCTCCGGCTGGCCCTGCGAGTTTGTGGAAAGCATAGGTAGAGTCCAGCTCAGGCTGCAAAGGATTGATGGTAGCAAAAGGGTAGCAAAAGGCGAGGCGACGAGCTTGCGACTGATGGCCCGCCGGTCGGGAAGCTGGTCAGCTTTGAGTGAGCCTTCTTGGCGCCTCTCATCCGTCTCTCGAGGTTTGGGAGCGCCAAGTGGGGCTGTCCATCTGCTTCCAGACGGGACTGTGCAACTGGACCCACTATATCCTCATCGGCCAGCTTGCCTGCCAGCTGGCTGCCAACAGCTCGAGACCTAGCTTGAACAGGACAGCTCCCCTAGAAAGGCACCAATAGGACTCCAGGGTTGCCGCATTTGGAGGTAGGTCGGAATAACATCAAAGTGCGAGGGGTGCCACGAAACAGCGCCCCGGCGAGTCCTTAACCAATACAGAGCCGGAGCCGGGCACATAATAAAGAATGGAAGGGAACAATCAAGAGAACAAACAATATTGTACCCGCAAGGCCATTTGATTCGTGACGAAAGACATCTACCAGCAGTATCATTCAATGACCAAGCTCGAAACCAGTAACAACGTCGACTTGGTTGGTATCTGTAGCCCTGCCCAGCATGACAGGGGCTTCCTCAGCGGTTTCACTCCAGTCGTCCTTGCTTGTGCCACGTCTCGAGATTCTTGATCTGCACAATACCATGACGCATCCCACGTCGGGGGTTCACACTTGCTCAACAAGTTACTTGAAGGATGGTTTTATTGTGTAGCGTGAGGGAACCGCCCTCGGTACACTTTTAGCTTTTAGTTACTATTATTATAAAACTCAATCATACCACCGTGGTGCATATACACACAAGAAAGGGTAAAAAAACGCCCACAGTTTCTACGTGACAAGCAAGAAACTGAGATTTCGCCCAGAACCCCGATAATCCATGCTGAAAAAAAGTACAGAGAAGAGGGTACAGCGAAGAGAAGGGTTGAAGAATTACCAAGGAAATAAAGTTGGTCGCCGGACCATGACGGAGCTTGCTATGCAGCAAAATGCCCCTATTAACGTTCGGGATCCTCTTCCAGGGACATGTGTGAAAGTATGGAAGAAAGCCTTGCCAGCGGGGGCAGTGCGGGGGGCGACAGCGGCTCTGCCAGCGGCCACTCTCCTTCAAATAGCGAAGGGGCCTTTGGCGTCCGCGGCGGCGACCGCATGAGCGGCAGCCCTATGGTCCGCGAGGTCGCGCAGACCGAGGACTCGCGGCGCGGGAACGGGGGCCTCCGCGGCGCCCCCGCCCCGCCGTTCGGGTCGACGGCGGGCTGCACGATGTTGAACCGCCTTTCCGGGGCGGACTCGAGGTCCGCCAGGGCCCCGGCCGGCGATTTGGACGCCGACAAGCGCCATAATGCTCGTCGCGCGGCGGCGAACCCGGGCGGAGCATTCCAGTCGATGGACTGCCACTCTCGGTCCTGGCGCAGCTCCTCCTGGCTGTTTTCGCGGTAGAAGGTTTCTGGCTCGACAGCTGTTGGATCAAAGACGATGACGCCGCTTCCGGGGCTCGGGGCGCCCCCTGCGCGCTTCTCGATGTCGACGGTGATGGACGTGTTGATTTCGATGGCATTGTTTATTTTTCGTGAGTAATCCTTGTGCGAGTAGTCCTTGTGCGAGTAGTCCTTTGGCGAATAGTCCTTGGGCGAGTATTCGCTGAAGCTGGTGAGTGTGCCGCCATCGCTAGCCAGGGCGCCGCCTCTAGTGGCCACCTTTTTCTTCTCGTCCGTGCCCAGGATAAACTGCGTGCTCTTGGACCGCGAGTGCAGGGCTGAGCCCTCCAGGGTGGTGCCGGCAAAGCTTTCATCAACCCCCGGCTTGGGCTTCTTGCCGCTGCCGCCGCCTTGCTCCGGCCTGCCGCCGCGGCCGTTCTGGCTGGTGGTGGAGCGGACCTCGGCGGCCAGGAGCTTGAATTTGCGGAACAGGGGCCGGAGCGTGGCAGCCGACGATGCGATGATGGCAAGTCCGATCTCAACCGACGACCAGTTGCCGAGCTCGATAAAACTTCTCAGGTATTCCGGGTTGCTAAGCAGCTGCTTCTGGTATGGAACGCGGATGATAGTCACGAGGGACGAACTGCGTTTTGGTAAAGAGGAACGTGAGTAGACTGAAACAAAGGCATGCGGATACATGGCCACGGGGTTCATGCCGGCACGGGGCACTGCCAGGGATAGAAGAAGTGAGAAGATGATGGGGGTTGGAAACATACGCTGAGCCGAGCGCCAAAATACCCACGACGGAAAACTTTGTCCTCCTGTCGAGCTTGGCGTTCCACATGAGGGAAATAGGCATCAACGCCAGCGCTAAATCGGCGACGATGTTGACGATAGTAACCGTGTACGTCGACCCCAGAGCCATCGGCGGCTTGAAGCAACTGCCAGCGTCCGCAAAGGGTGGGTCGTAACGGCGCCAAAAGAACCAAATTGGAGAACATTGAAAAATGGCAACGAAAAAGTAGAAGATATTGGCGATACCGACCATGGCCAGCAGCGCGATAAGCGTCCAGCTTTGCCATCTTTGACGCGAGTTGCGGAACAGCCGGATAAGGTAGATGCCGACAACGAATTTGACAAGGCCCGAAACGAGGACGTAGCCGGACATGCAGAGGTATTTGTAAAAGAGTGCTATGACGCGCTGGTCCGGTGCGACGTCGGCCACATGGCGGCCCATTCCATAAGCGACGCCTATACAGCCAACGACTGTAAGGTAGGCAAAGGCAAGCTGAAGTCGGAGGAGATTTCAGGGGTCAGTTATCATGGCCGCAGATCAGAAGATGAGTATGAGTATGAGTGGCAGAGACACAAGCACAAAGAGCTTACGAGTGTAACGACGGCCAAGCCGTCTTCGAATCGGAAGATCTTAGTCAAGCAAGCCGAAGTGTAGACGCGGGCGGCGACTGCGATGGTGGATAGTAGGAGCATCGCCCCCTGGATTCCAACGAACGCCGGGCCCATGTCCTGTCCAGGTTTGAGAGACGACATGTTGCCCAAGAGGCCGGGCCGGTTCGGGCGGGCGGCTGGGTGGTCCGAAAAGAGCTTCGGGTTCCGTCCCGTGACCAGGAGGATCAGAAGAAAGGACTCAGGAGAGGGATATTTGTGGTTGAGTGGCGGGCTGCGCCGCAAGACTTTAAAGGACCAAAACGAGGGCATCCCCCCGCGGGTACCTGCGTGGAACAGGTGAGGGGAGAGCTCGAGGAGACGCACTAAGACGGGGAGACCCGACTATGGCCCACATGGTTCATAGTTCTTGCCCTCCACAGCGATGGATGCAACGGCGATAATGCCTGCCGGACACGCGCACCATGGCCCCGTTTCGAAGTTCGTGCGCTGCCAGTCTGCGGCCATGACTCGCCTGGCGTTGCCCTCGAATGGGGTCCGGGGTCCGCACACGCTGCTACGAAGCAAGGCAGAACCTCGCCCCTTCGTGTCGTAAACACGTGGTGGTGACAGGCATCGCTGAAGCAACTAGGCGACTGCAACGCCCCTGGTGGTAGGCCAAGGGCTCGTGACAGGTGGCGACGAGGATCCGAGCACGCGTTCGAATATCAGCAAACGGTGTGGGGGAATCTCTTCATCGGCATCCATCGAGCCTCTGACTTGTGGATCGTGGGATCTCAGCAATTGCCCGACGCCCTCTTTGTTTACTGTTTACCCCAACTCTAGAATCTTTGACTCTGTGGGCTCGCCGTATGGGGCCCTGCGCACGAGGGATGGGAACTTGCCAACTTTCACTCTGCCCACTCTCCGATACCACGGCAGTTTATAATCTCCACAGGTCGGGTTCGCGTTGCTGACATGGAGACTACCAGCAAATCCATCAATAATCCTCTTGGACGAAAATTTGTCGAGGTGGCCCTGGCACCAGTCCCGAATCCTAGCTTGCTCTGGGCTTCTTTGTTTCGTTTCTTTTTCTATTTATAATAAAGGAGAGTGGTATTGGCATTGGCATTGGCATTGTTCAGGGGTAGCGTCTCTTTGGCACAATCTGGGTGATACCGAATTCTTCGAAACAGTTCCTCTTTTTGGAGGTGTTTCCCAACCAGGTGGGGGATCCATCTCGGCGGGTCAGCTTGCCCATCTGTTGGTTCCATCACGTCTGTTTCCTGCAGGGAACCCATACCGCTTTTTTTCTCTGAGAAATGTTCCCAGATGGGAAATGTCGGCATCTCGGGTCCATCCCATGGCAAACTCTAGTACAAAAAAGCAACCCCACGAGTTACCCTCTTAAGCCGGTTTAATTCAGTAGGCACATTAGATAAGTAGGGATCGCAGAAGTTCTTTTCACGCAGTGGCTTGATAATAACGTTACCTCATCCGAAGCCCATTTTCAGACCATTCGTCGAATAGAACCGGCTTGAGAGGGTATCCTCCTAGGGAATCCACCAGAACCACAATGGTCATCTAATCCCTGAGAGGTGTTGCAGGTTGTCCATTTGACAGCGGTCAGTGCACAGCGACAGTAAATTTGGCAAACTTTAGCCATCGGGGTCGGGAGCGGCATCTTGCCAAGCAATTCCGGCTTACCCGCACCGGGCGGGCCCTGTTGCCTTGTCGTCATGACAAACATGCCCGAGAGCAGCCGCGCGCCTACACAGTAAGCTCAGGCATAAATCGTAGCCCACGTGCACCCACTGCCGCTCGTATTTCCCGCACTCGTCGGGCTACACAGAGGGCTACCTAGGTACCTAGATAATGGCCTCACTAGCGATACTGTTAGGAGGCGGAACATTTTTGCTGGAAGCCTTAATGTAGGGCGGAAATTGGTCCTAAAAAGTCGTCATAATTGTCAGTTGCCTTATCGTCCTTTGTCCTCATCTTCATCCCTATATTTGCAGCCACATTTCCCTTGCTGCGAGACGAAGGGGTACTTTGAACTCGAGACAATACCAAGTACAGTACGTGTACCTATGTCTACAACTCGTTTCGTTGAAATACCCAGAGTGCCGGGGGAAGGCTGCGTCCCGTGCACGCCCAAGCTGTCCCAAAATCCTGTGATGCGGGTGCATAAATCCATGTATCGGAACGACCTCTCTCATTGCATGTCGGCGGCTTGGCGACACTCGCATAAACGCAGGGGTGCAAGTGGCGGGAGAGCGCGTGTGCAATTGGCCCCGGCGCAGGAATTTGCCCCGCTGTGCGCTCAGCGACGAACATGGCTTGTCCGCTTAACCGGAACCAGCACAGCACAGAAGCGAAAGCCCCTCAGTCTGCCTCCCCAAGATTTGAACAGTCATTCGGTGCCCGCCTCAATACAGCGATGGCACGCCGCTCCTTGAACCTTGCCATCCCCGTCCAATTCAATCGGCCCAGTCCCGCTCGACTTAGCGAGGCCCTGCCACCGGCACAGCGACCTTGACGGCCCTGGGGCCCCAGAAACAGCGACGGCCAAGCTGGAATCAGGGGCGTTTGAGCGACCTACAGGCAGCTCGAGGCCGCCGTGGCGAGCGCCAGCCCACGCAAATTCAATTCGCCGTATTCAGTCAACGAGGGTCAGCCAACGAGGGGAGGGCTGCAGGGGACGAGAGCAGAAGACGGGCAGTAGACAAGATAGAACGGAGCCGGCCCAATGGCCGACTTCATTAGTAAGGATGAAGCGGACCTGCCCGCCGCCGATTACAGCAAGGATCATGACGCTGCCGCCGGGCAATTGGTCGACGCTGAAATGGACGACGATGAGCCCGTCCCGTCTGCGCTGAAAACAGCCCCGTCGTCGTCTGTGGGTGGCTACGACGACGACGCCGACGACGGCTCGACGCCGGCCCCGGCTGTCGTTGTCGATGGGGCGGGCGCGACAGCTGCTGCGACGGGACTTGCAACAGCTAGCGTTGCCGTCAACAATGCCCACCACGGCAACAGAGCCGGCACGGCCGCGACGGCGACGGCGACGGCGACGGCCACCACCACTCCCAGCAAGGAGCGCCACTCGCTCACGCTGGACCAGCGGCGGGCGCTGCGGCGCTGGGCCAACAGCCAGGTGGTGCGTCCGTCGCACAAGGCGTGCATCGAGTGGTTCGCGTCCGAGTATGGGCTCTCCATCTCGCAGTCGACCGTGTCGCACTCGCTGTCGCCCAAGTACGCCCGCCTCGACAGCGACGCGCAGCTGTCGGGCTCGCGCCTGCGCTTCGGCAACTGGCCCGACGTCGAGAAGCTCGTGCTGCTCTGGCACTCGGAGATGGTCAACCGCGGCCGCCAGCCCAGCAACGAGGAGCTGGTGCAAAAGGCCGTCGCCATCTTTGAGCAGCTGCCCCGCTATGAAGGCGAGAAGGCCCCCAACTTCTCGCCTGGCTGGGTCCACCGCTTCAAGAAGCGCTACGGCCTGCTGATGCGCCGCCAGCGCCGCACCGCCCCGGGGCCCAGCGGCGCCGCGGGATCCGACGAACTCGACGACATATCCTACCTCGTCGACGCCCTGCCGCGCTTCACCCCCGTCTCGGCAGAAACCCCGGCCGCCACCATTCGCGATCTCTTCTCTCGTGTCATCGGTATCGACACCAGCATAGCAACCTGCGCCCGCGTCCGTGACGAGGTGGTCTCCATCCAGACCGCCGCCGCCGCCACCGCCGCCGCCGCTGGTGTTGGTGCTGGTGCTGGTGCTGGTGCTGCCCCCACCCCGCCCCCCACAACATGGCCATCGCTGCCGCCGCCGTTGCAGCAGCCAATCCATCACTCGGCGCAGGTTCCGCCGCCGGTCACCGGACTACCGGCGACGCTGTTGGCGTCGACAGCGGTGTACAAGTGTCCTCGTCGTCCCACATGGATCTAGGTGACGACGATGACGCCGAGGTCGCGCTGCAACACGCGCTCCGCCAGATCCAACAGGAGGAGACAGACGCTGACGCCGATACAACCATGCCCGAGGACAACGACGAGCACCACATGGAGGATAATGGGATCCCAATCAACCGCAACGTCGGCGCCGACTTTAGACAGCAACAGCTACAGCCAGCGCAGGCAACCCCAATCTCGCAACCGCGGGCAAATCAGCACCACCAGCTCCACCAACCGCAGCCACCGCCACCACCACAACTCCAACCACAGCAGCCGTTGCGAACGTCACCACAGCCGCCAGCGCCAGCGGCGCCGCCACCACCACCACAGCAACAGCTGCAACTAAACACGCCCACCTCGATCCGCATGCACCAGCTCCCCGTTACCACATCCCAGTTCGCACACGACGGCGAGTTGAGACTAACACCCATCCCAAGCTCGGCCCCCGCGCCCGCATCGGGCGAGAAGCCGGTCCGGTGCCCGTTCTGCGTCAACACTCGGATGCTGCGCTCGATAAAGGAGGCCGTGGAGCACATGTCCACCCATGTCGTTGTCGAATAGGAGTAAGTGATTGCGTCGCCGGTTGAACCGCGACTTGCTGTTTTTTCCCCTTTTTTGTATAGACTTTTCCGTGGGTTGATATATATTTTTTATTTTGCGCGGTGTCCAGGGCGTATGGTGTATTGATGTATACTACAGCTGCTCTAACTACCTACTCTAGCTAGATCTAAACTTCTCATCACTCGACGTAAACTAAACATTTCACCGTACTAGTATGTCCATGTTCTGATCAGGTCTTGGCTACGTACCAGCTTGGAGTTGGGTGGGGCGCCCTGGTGCGTAGCATATGTGCAACGTGATTCATCAAAGTCCATTCACACCACCCACATGGCTCGCCTATCAAACTACCGCTCAACTAAGTAGAGGCCCTCGGCCCTGCCCTCGGCGCTCCCAGCTCCCCGCGCCGATTTCTTTTCACTCACTCCAGAGGGTATAAAAACGTGGCCTTTCTGGTTCTGATCGCAAGAAAAATCCAAACCAGGAATCAAATCCACCGAAGGCATAGAATGAAGACGGGAACGAAATGCCGCTCCCGGAAAGAAGGATGATTAAGAAACGAAACGCAAGCATAAGTGAACGCCAAAACAAACGAAAACCGAACAAGAAGCCCCCTCCTAGTTCCAGTTACTCCAACTCCGCGATCCTCTCAAACGACTTGCGGCTCAAGGATGTCGGGATCAAATCATTCCCAGGGACGCCAAACTTTTGTCACTCTCGTTAATCGACTCATCTCATGGCCGCGCCGGGCAGCCTAGCGAATGTCCTTTCTGGGCCGGGCGTGACCTAGACAGCAACGCCTACCTCGTATGTGTGGCGCATTACGAGACGATCACAAAAGAGGGTTGCTGTTTTTGTCCGCAGGGCATGCCCCAACAGAGACAAGGGAAATATAGTAAATGAAGGAGAAACAAATGTAGACAAGGAGAGAGAGAGGGTCTTGGAAAAGAAGAACGGGGATGGGGGACGAATAAGGGGATAATGGTAAAGAAGAGGGAAAGAGCGATGGTAGAAACAGCAACAGAAACTCGCTGAGGCCTATCGCACCCGAAATGACACGGCTCCAGAACGTGGCCATGAAGGTAAAGGAGGTGTAGAATTAAGCCCATGACGTTGGAAGCGATGCTTTTTTTTTCTCGTTTTTTTCCCTCATGTTTTTAGCATCCATCTGCTGGCCGCGAAAACGACGCTCGACGCAAACTCTGATAGTTTCGAGAGTCAGTTTGCCCATCCATCCCGGGTATGAAGGAGGAGGAGGCGGATCCTGCAAAGACGGCAGGCCTGCTGCCACAGCTGCTGCTCGATTAGGGAGGGTGATGCGTGAGCTTCATGATACCGGGGTCTGTGGTATTCAAGAGTCCACACAGAGATGCAGTGCCGCAGCGACCTTGATGTCTTGGTCTAGGGTGGCTGAAAATATATTATGCCAGTATGCCTCGTGGGCGCACCGTCCTTGTTAAAGGCGGGGGAGGCTCGATCAGACTAGTTCCACGAATAGGAGTAGCTTCTCGTTGCGGCTAAGAGCGAGATCGAGATCCTTATTGCTGATCATGCTCAACTTGCCACCTGTCGCCTCGTCCTTGTATGATAGCTGAATCTCCTCAGACGGCTGGATCCTCAGCCTCTCTCTGATTTTGTCGTGCAGTTCCCGGTAAGGGATGTCGGATGAAACCCTGATGGCAATTAGGTCACCGTTGTAGCTCAGCTTCACCTTCATCATGGCACCAGCTTGTGTGATGCCAGGCGAGAGTGAAGTCTGAGATGGTTGCGAGATGGATGAAGTTTGGCGGAGCATCCCCGGTTGGTTCCTTGGCGCTGCTTGGACGCCGTATCCGTTGCCGTTACCGTTGAGGTTGTTCCGCGAGGACTGGCGAGAGGTGCCATCCATGGGTGAGTCCATGGACGAGCGTTGTGAGCCGCCCGACATCCTGTACTCGTCTTGGCCGGATGGATCCATCTCATAGTCGCCTTCCCTTGGGTTAAAAAACTGCCTGACGAGGTTGCAGCGGGATATGTAGGTGGGCTGGGCCAGCAGATTCTTGACGTAGGCATCCAGGTTGTGGAGACGCCCTTCCGTGATAGCATCGGTGACGTAATTAACGGGTCCTGGCATGTAAGGAAGGGTACGCTTCTGGTCTCCAGTGTTGCCTGCCTCGGCGGGGAACTCGGTGAGCAGCGCGATTTGGAAGTCATAAAAGTCCTCGTAGTATCGCGAAAGTTCGTATTGGCGCCCGTCCTCGAGGACTGCCTCGATGACGAACCAGTACTTCTCCTCGGCGAAGCAATAGCGTGGTATGCTGGCCGAGATGGGGGCGTACAACTTGGAGGCGGAAGCGTTGGGTGAGAGTGCGGGCGGCTGCTGCTGCTGTTGTTGTTGTTGCTGCTGCTGCATCTGCATGCTCTTCTGCGGGCTGTAGGGACTTTGCTGCTGCTGGAGTGGCTGCGGGGACGGAAGAGGTAGGGGTGACTTTTGCGGGGAGTGCAAGTCAAGGTCAGTCATTGTGGCCGAATCAAGCCTCGAGCGCAAAGATGCCGCGGAGCATCCACTTACTGGCTTGCCATTCATCTGGCTCTGGCTGGTGCGGTTGTCACCGGACTGCAGATTCATGCGGTCCATGCCCGCCTCCAGAGACTGCGGGCCGCCTCCGACCTCGAACTTGCCCAACGTAATGCTGCTATTCTTGTAGTCGGCAGCCATCTTCTTCCACTCTTCAACTCTTGGGATGCCAGCCCTCCGGACGGCGTTTTCCGGGTCGACCACAGGCGTGTTGGAGGCCATGTCCCGAATTTCGATAAAGGACACGGGAATCAGGCCGGGACCGCCTAGCCTACCGATGGGCTTGGCGACAAACCATTCTGGGTTGGACTGGGCGATGACGATAATGGCCTCGCCGGCCTGGGCCTGCAGCTCGTCGGCGCGCTCGGCCTGGAAGTCATACATGACGATGCCGTAAACCATGGCGCCGGACTTGCCGCCCGACTTGGAGTTTCGCTGGCTCTGTGCCGGGGTTGTAGCAGTCGTCGTCGACGTCTCGGCGTATCCAGAGTCATGGTCGGGGTTCTTTGGTGACCCTTGCGAGTTCTCGGACTGCGTGCTGTCCCTCTCGGTGCGACCTAGGGCTTGGAAGAATGCGACAGGCACTAGGCCGCGAGCGTCGGGTAACGCGGGATTGCAGGCCTCGTACCAATCCTGGTCGTCCTCGCGTCCTATGACATGGAAGAAGTCTCCACGCGAGAAACTGAGTTCTTGGCTCGATCTCGCCTCGTAGTCGTATAGAGCGCGGATTACCTAGCAAAGGGATCCCCGACCGTCAGTTTGGCTGTCCTTTTCGGCGCCCCGCAGAGCAAGGGTGGACACGGCGGCCAGCGGCGCCCGAGTCGCGCGTGCATAGTTCGTGACTGACCTTCTTGGGTGGAACAATGGCAACAGCCGACTTTGGAGCGACGGAAAGCTGAGGCTGCTTATCCTTGTCGCCCTTGATAGATCGCCGTAAGGCCTTGAAAGCACGCATAACTGTCAGCTTCCAGTCCTTCTAGATGTTATGGTTGCAGGGCCTGGTCGACGCATGCAATGACTCGGGCGGGAGCCGACGTAGACGGCCGAGTTTGCTCAACTATGAGCGAGGGGTCATGGATCAACAGACGGAGGGGAGGGGTGCACCAGGTGCGGCAGCGGGATCGGAGGAAGGGAGGAGGGGTAATAAGCCGGGGGGGAAACAGGCGAGTGACTGGGTGCGAATTTCCCCGAAGGCGTGTGAATGCGGCACCGCGTGAGAAACAGGAGGCCAGTGGCTTGAGACCTGTTCGCGGCGATGACGAGTGTACGCGACAGTGGAAGGGGGCGGCGGGTGAAGGGTGGCGGCCAACGCAACCAGCCTCGCACGCAATCTCGGAGAAGGCTCTCACGAGTACGCACGCGCGCGCCGGTCAGTGGCCGCAGAATTTGATGACGCACCTTCATCTTGGTAATCGTGGGGCCTTCCGGCTGTCGAGAAGCGGACTGGAAGACAGGGGATTGAGGGCAGGATGAGGCGCCCTCGAGTTACGCCGACTCAGGCGTGTTTTTCGGTCGGGTGACCCCGTGTGGCCGAGGTGCTCTCCTAGGTGCGACTGGACGCTGAGGCAGGAGTTGCGGCGGCGGACTTCAGGTCGCCTGTTATTGCCTCGGCGTAATTTAGATTTGGCGTTGCGCAAGAGCTCGTTCGGCCAAGACGAATCGGCGACGGGAAACGAGGGCGTGCAGAGATGTCGGCGGCGGTGGTGGTTGCGGAAGCAGCGCGAGGCGACAGTGGGTCTTCGCGCCTTCTCGGTTCTTTGCTGTTTTCCGCCGAATGCGTGTGCAGAGTGTATGTAGTGTGGCGCGGAGACGACCCTCTTTCTTTCTCCTCCCTTGTCGCAATCTACTTGCTGCTACGGCGGAGTGGGCGGCGTCAAGTGTGGTGGGCGTCCTTTGTTTCCCTGGCGGCTCGTGCTCTCGCGTGCTGTCGCCACAAGGAGGTCCCGTGTTGCGCAGACAGACACACACTGTCTCTCTCGCTCTCTCTCTCGCGCGCTCACTCTCTCCTGCGTGGTGATGTGCGGCGGCGTAGTCCGGGACCGATATGATCGCAGGCGTGACGAGGTTCGGCAAGGACAGTGGTCGCGTTGGCAGGGTGGGAGTCGCTGTCGTCGTGGTCGGTTGTCGCTTATCAGCAGCGTCGTGAGTGCATGCAAAGCGGCGGACGTGCGAGCCGATGCGTGCGTGGGGAGGCAAAAGGATTAATAGAAAATAGGAGGGGGGAGCCGGGGGTGGTGAAGGGGCGCGCGGGCGGGGCTCCAATCTGGATTAGAGTGCCAAAGTCTGAACCGGAGGGCGCGCAGGGACGGGAGTCGCAACCAGCAGCGGTTGGGGCGTGCAAGGATGCGACTCTGCCAGGGCCTACCTGCCCACACCTCATTATGGAGTCGAGGTACCGCCACCATTTTAGGAGCTTGGGTGGGTGCCCGCTTGCCGCAAGCATTGAGCTCATCAATGGGCGCACACCAGACCGGACGGGCTAGCCCAGCCCAGCCTGGACGGATGGGGTGCGAACGGCGGCGGCAACCCAGGCCCCGCAGCTGCTCACGGCCATTTGATGCGTGCAGACCCAGCAACTACATGGAGCCCCAGCGAGCTTTCAGCGGGCGCTTTTACCGTCGCGTACCTACAGACTGCACCTAAAGACTGCCTGCATCTAGGTACAGACTGCACCCGCCCACATCGACTGAGGTGTGGACCGCACCACACCGCGCCTGAGGCGACCTGGGCTGCCACCAGACACCTACCACCTCGTGCATGGAAGCTGGTGGTGGGCAGCCCGGGCCGGAGGGGGAGCCAATGGAAGTCAGCCCAAGGCCCAAGGTGCGGCGCAAGCGTCCATGCCAGGAGCACATGGGGGTGAATGGGCAGCCACGGTTACGCCGCTCGGACCAGCCAGCGCCCTCGTTCACCCGAGGCGGGTGGAGAGGGAGGTGTGGGTAAACAAATGCGAAATACAACGGGCAGCAATTCAATCACAGGAGCCGGCGGGGACCTGGACCGTCGAGCCTGTGCTGTTCCCTTCCCACCCTCCATTGACTCCCTCCCCCCATGGCACCCGACTTGATGTTGGAGGAAGCGGGCTCCCGGAAACAGCCGGGCCCGCCATTCGCCGCTATTGATCACTCGGCGACAGGGCCCTCGCACACCCTTCCTGCACCCGCAAAAGGTCGCACCGAGCGTCGTGTCGCCTGCCATCCATCCACAGAAACAGAAAAGCAAGCGTAGAAACAAATTCCGAAAACGAACTTGACATTCCTGCCTGCAGCTGAGTGAGTGAGCGAGCATGCATACGTACGTGCGCTTTGCCGCGTGTCCCTCTCTCTGTCTCGTTTTTTTCCTTCTCCCTCCGTCTTGCTGTTTGTTTCCAGCCCGTACACCTCTCTAGACCACATTACTCCACATCGTCTTCCCGCTTCCGAGTCTCCCGGCGAAGCGTTTGGGTTAAACTGCCCCGAGTTAGGCAACTGTCCTCCTCGTGCGCGAACTGAAATGGCAAAACAGAGCGCTCCTTCTAGAGTCGTTTAGGAGGAGGCTAAACGACAGAGCTATTCGATGTGGCTGCCCAGCATGTTCCATAATCCCGACTGCGCCGACTGCGCCGACTGCGCTCTGTCGGCGCTAGTCTGTGGTTGGCCCATGATGCGGCATAGGAGCATGCTAGCTCAACGTTAGCTAGGATCACAGGTGAAGATGAATGAGCCCACCGGGCATAACGACTCCAACTGCGCTGTGCGCGGCCTGCGAGAGTCGGGACCACCTGGCTTAGCTGGTGGCCCCCCTTTTTTCTTGTTTCTTTTTCCCCTTCATCATTTTCCTTTTTTCTCGGACGGATGTAACTTTGGGACCGAATGGGAGCATGGACCCAAGCGAGGAAGCCTTGCAAGGGTATCTGCCGCGCCACTGCGCATGTTCATGCCTTTGGAGTGCAAATACAAGCATAAACGTGCACAACTCGGCATCTGCCTGGCATCCATGGATGGGAACAAGGCACAGGCGCCCGGCTTTCTGCGGAGCTGTCTCCGGCAAGTCAGCCCGACATGCCCCTACGTAAGCGGGCGGCCAGGACCAGCATCACATCGCCTCTCATGCATGCAGGCCTGCCGAGCCAAGTCTAGGAATTTCCACACCGGCACCCGTCACCAGTCAAACCCATGGAAGCCGTGACCAGCTGGACCTGGTTGGTTTTCTGCTTTCTTGGGCTGCCCGCCTGCCGGCTTGATGCACAAATCGGCCAAAAGGTCCGAGTCGGGCTCACAATCCGGTCTACAACCAATTGGGATCCCGAGCCTGGACGGCAAACTCGACCAGGTGGCATGGATTTGCGTACAATAATAGTTCGTCAGCCAAAGTTCTTTTCTTCTTTCTCCTTTTCCTCTCCCCGCCTGTTTTTATACGGCCATCCGGAAATAAGGTGTCGAGTCCCCGCCCATACTGCACTTGTATCACGTCAATCTTTTCGAGCAAAAAGTAGGTAGGTTGAGACAGCGGCTTGGGCGGCCGCAGGGAATGGAGAAGGCGTGGTCAGCTCAACATCGACCTTTTCCTTTTTCTCCTTCTTGGGGCGCCCTGTTACGCAATCGAGCTTGGATAAAGCTGAGCGTATTGCTGGGTTGCCAGAGGGGGAGCCTGGGACCGGGCACACGCCCAGCACGGGAGCGGGAGGCCTGTTCTCGCAGCCCCCTGCAATGGCTAGCTTCCCCGACGGCAGGGCGCGCAGGGGCTCACAGCATGCTGGGAAGGAAGGGCAGCCATGTGGGCCGACGCTGGTTTCTCGGATGCCATGTCGGTGTTGTTCAGAACCAAGCCTCCCCGCCGCCCCCTGGTCGCCGTCGCCGAGTGATGTGTCCCTCCCCGTCACGACACATTTGCCGACGACCGAGGGGCGCAGCCCTCCAACGCGGGCCCGGGGACTTGCGAGTATCGAGGCATGGACGCAGGGCGAGCGGCAGATATCCCAACCCTCACGTGTAATCAGCACGCAGTAAAAAAAAAAGTATAAAGTGGGATTGGGGAGGGCGATGGAGCAGACCCGTGTCGATCGAGGTCGTTCCGGCTTAGTGCCCCGCCGGCACTGCAGGAATCAGCCGCATCCACATAGCGATTCCTCCACGGCGTTGCCAAGATCTCACACAAACCGGCGGTCCATCTTGGACTGAGCCTTCGGCGGCAGCACCGACGACCCCATCTCCTGCCGGACTACCTAGGCCTCAGTGAGTCGAAAGGACCGCCACAAATGCTGACCTCCGTGGTGTGCAACCCTCTGTTTCTTGGCCGAGCCAAAAACGATAAACGAGGGTGTGTCGTGGTGGATGGCGCATCCAATAAGAGTTACCCCTCCGCACTACCACCTCAGCTACAGTACCAACGAAACAACCTTAGGCGCAGGCGCCTAGCCCGCGCGTACTTTTTGCGACCCGATATGCTGGGCGTTCCTGGGGTCGGATGCAACTTTCTCATATCTCACTTTTTTTTTCCTTTTCCTTTTTTGCTTCCTTTGTCTGCTTTTCTCTCTCACTCGCATGACAGACATTGGGCGCGATTGCGCGTCTCGCCTTGATTACGCCAGGCGGGGGTGCGCCTTGACTCCCGTCGGCCGAGTTTGACCCAGTTCCAGCCGCTCGGGTGCCTTGAACTGAGGGGCCTCGGGAGGTGGGGGTAGACGAGAGCATGCCCACAGTAAAATAAAATAAAATAAAATGAACGGAAACTGGGGCGGAGCAGCCATACCTAGTTGACGACTCCCGTTGCAAACAGCGCCGGGCATGCGAGGCTGCTGAGTGCGTTGAGCGTGTCAATCGGTTACGCGGGCGCCGTGTTCCTCTTGTGCCGGCGTCGACCAGAACCCATGAGAGAATCAAAAGAAGGCTGCCAAGCATTCCATGTGGCTTTTTCCCCTCCTTGAACCAAACGGCAAGCCGCCAGACAGGCGGGATTAGATCATTGGCAGTAGGCAAACCAGGGATGACACGCGGAAGTAAGGTCAGGGGTCCCTTGGAAGTCATTATATTCTGGAACGCCCATCCCCCGCGTGCTGTCGTTCCGGAATCATGCTGTGATCACCGTCGAAAATCAACCATTCCATGGTTGGCACGTGCCTGGCCCGCTTGCTTCGCTGCCCAACGCAAGGGGTTGGTTGGGTGGGCTGGGTGTGGGTTGAGTGATGGGTTGGTTGGCTTCTTTTTCCCTCGCTTCGCTTCTCTCTCCCTCTCATCCCGTCTCCCTGAGCTGCCGCCATGTGAGAGAGACGACGCGAGTGGCCCGCCGTCATCAACAGCCATGCGAGCGGAAAGGTTAATGCCTCCACCCTGCCCTCTCCCGTGTGTTTCCCTCCCAGGCTCCCATGATGATCGCCCTGGCTTGAGGGGTCGTCCTTGGCTTGGTGCTGTAGTGCGGACAGCCCAGTCCGTTCACGTGCGAATGCCACCATGAGATACCTTCCATATTTGCTGCTCTTCGACTAGTGTGTATACATACCTGCCAATTTTACCATGACGCCTTTTCTTGACCTCAAGGTTCACAAGGCCCAAGTTTGGGCCATTTTCCGCACGACGGACAGGCCACAAATAAACAATTCTGTGCGACATCCCGTTGCCGGGAGCGAAAACGACGGCTCCCGAACATGCGCCAGAGGCGCGGGAGAGTGAACCTGCCGTGCCTGCATCATACGCAGGAACGGCGAGCTGCATTGACGCTGTGCAATGGGATCGGATTACGTAGAGGCGGGAGGCCGCCGCCGTGTTGGCCATCCCCTACCTACCTATACAAATCCGCCGGGTGCTTGTCTTGGTGGCACCCCCGGGGCGGGAAGCGGGGGTGGCGGGCTGCTGGTGGAGGGGCCCGCTTGCTGCAGGCAATGCCGGCTTCGGTCGCCATGATTCCCAGTCCACAAGACGTCAACCAAGCTTGAAAGCGCCCTGGAAAACTCGGGGTGCTGAGCAGCACGGCCCTTGTTGGTTGGAATGTGCTCGGCATGCCAGGATTCTGTCAACTGTGCCCTCCCGCGATAGGATCTGAACCCGGGCCGCCTAGGAGATCTCGGCGAGTTGATGCCCACTATGGCGTCAGAAGTTCCTCATGGGAGACAAGCAGAAATAACAGGCTTGTGATTCCAGATTTCACCCCGGGAGGCCGTTCAATGCCTTATCTAGCTCCCTAGTCCGGCTCATCTTCGTTCCGATAGCCAGCGCCTGCTTATGAAACTGAACGTGTCTCCGAAAGAAGGAGGGGTCCCGATGCCTGCCACCGGCCGGGGGGCTCTGCTGGCTGCGGTGCATTGTCAGATGGCTTCAAGAATGTTCTCGATCCATGGACGCTGCGACCTCTGGCTAAGCATTGAGCCTTGGCTTTCATGACATGGGTCCTAGATCTGCCTGGGTCTGCATCGATCCCGCTCAGATCAGGAAACATGACGAAACAATTGATGATGGATTTGCCGCTGCCAGTCAAACTACCTACCTAGTCGCCCCACGACGACTAAAACAGGTTGAAGCTGGTTCGGTAGATGGATTAAACCAATACTCTTATAAAAGACCAAGTAAGAGCATGCCTTATTACCCCAACTCCACGAGCGTGCTTTTCCCCGTCGACACCAAACAAAAAAAAGAGACGCCATCATAAACCAGATAGTTAGGCAAAGGTACTTGGAGGTTGCTCGGCCATCCGACGTCGAGTTCCCAAGTCCAGCCAAACGCGCAAAATAAGAAAGAACGCAGAAGCGGGTATGCTACATCCAAGTCCCCAACCCTGCCACAAGGCTAAAAACATATCCACGTGCTCCCCCGCCATTCTTTATTAGTCGTGCGGTACTGTGAGCGTACACTTCGAGCCCCGGCTGGGGATTACTGAGTAGGTCTCGACGTTAGATTGAGGGGAAGAAATGCGTAGATACGAAGATAGAACGGATGCCAGGTGTCGGACTGGGCCGAAGGGCGGTAGTTTCGGGCGGAATCGGATTGCGGTTACTCCCGCCGTGCCTGAAGTGTGACATAATCCGAGCAGGGACATGCGAGAGAGCTTTTGAGACTCGATAGATGCTGAACGCAAGGACTCGAGGCGGTTCGACTCTTGTCGTTACCGAGTAACCGCATCCGCATCGAACGGATGCCGACGGAGAGAGCGATGGACTGAGAGAGTAGTGGGAGGGGTATTGTGCAAGTGTAACTGAAAATAAAAGATGTCGGGCTGGTGGTTGGGATCGGGCTTCATATTTGGCCTTTGATGTCAACTCTACGGAAGGCCTCTTTCCTCGCGTGGTCGAAGAGCTGGCCAGCTTTCCCAGCAAGGAAGGCGATGTGATCAGCACGCTCATCGAGCAGGTCTTGGCCGTTGTTGTCGATGATGAACTGCACGGCTTCGGCGTCGGACTCAAAGCCTAGCTCCTCCGTGATGAATCGGAGTTTCACGTCAGGCTTGTATCTGTGTAGGCGAACAATGTCAGCTTGGCGATCACGCGGCCGGGGCAGGCCAAAGCGAGGCTTGGATCTTTGACTTACGCTTTGCAAATATTGCACAGAGCCGCAAGACGTTCACGGCCGACAAACATGTCCATTAGATAGGCACCCATGTTGGGCGTATCCAAATAGAGCTGGAAGAAGCGATGGTAGTTGCCAAGGGCCAAGGCAGAGCGCACATTCAAGGCATGCTTGATCGGGCGCTCCTCCTTCTCTGCTGTGGTTAGGTCTGCCATGGCGTCGTTCAAGGCTGAACGGTTGGCAGTGTGGATGAAGTACAGGATACGATACGCTTTGAACTCAAGGGGGTTTCCTTTCAAGCCCAGCTGGTACAAAGCACGCAGCTGGGTCTGGCATTGGTTATACTCACCCAGGTCCCCCTTTTCCAAAGCGATTCGGGCATGGATCTCGTAGACGGAAACGGTGAACTCATTCTTGATGCGCTGAACGGTGAGGTCCTGACGCATCGACTTGAACTGATCGCAGATGTATGCGTAGTTCGACTCCTTCCGCCACTTCTTTTTGAGAAGTTCAAGCGTCTGCTGCAGAACCGCCTGAGGACGCACATTGGACGCGACGGGGGGAGCCGTCAGGCGAAGGTAACGCTTCTCCAACGTCTGGCTGGTCCCCACAATGGGGCCGTCCGAAGGAGGAGGGCTCGGGGACCGGTAGCTCGACTTGTAGCCGCCATCGAACCGACGTTGGCGCTTCTCCAGTTGCTTCTGGAACTTACTCATGCTTTTGCTGGATGAATCGTCGGGAGCGGCACGTTTGTCAGGCGTCGAATATGAGACACGGCCCTCAAGGCCGCTGCTCGCCTTGGCAGTTTGCCACGGCGGTACCCCAGAGCTCATGTCAGTGGACATGTCGCCGGACTTCCTTTTCTTCGGCGCCGGTGTGGCCACGCCCCAGGGGTCCTTGGGTAGGGCGACAGTAGTAGACATCAGAGATGCCAGGCGTTCGCGCTTGATCAGCTCCTGGGGGAGAGGCATCTTGTCCCAATCCATGGTGTACATAACACCTGTCTGATGGGCATGCGAAATAGTCTCCTTCAGCTTGGCCTCCATTTCGGCGCGGTCAACCGTGTGGTCCATTTTGTCGGGCATGAAGGACCTGGCCACATATTGCCTAACCGAGAGTGGCCAGTCGATCTTCTTCGACTGCTCCGCCGCCGGAGCACTACTAGCAGGGGAAGCCTCTGCGGTTTGTGCGCCGTATGAAGTCGGAGATGCCGAGTACTGGGCTTGGGTGGGGGCTACGGATCCGAAAGATTGACGGACAGGAACGGCAGTGTATGCTGGAGCCGCAGCTGCTGACGAGGAAGGAGGCGCCACGGTCAGCTGGGGATGCTCGCGAGACGGTTCGGAGGACTTGAAGCCCAGGTCGGTAGAGCGCGGATGAGATAACTTACTCATGGGGTAGGTCGGATATGCGATGGGCGCAGGCGGGATGCCAGCGGCCTGGCTCCAGGTGTTGGGCATCATGTTTGCGGTCGACATCCGCGAAGCGCGCGGAGGAGGTTCGACTCCAGAGTTAGCAATAGGAAGTGAGAGAGAAGAAAGGCCAGGGCGAATGGAATCAAATCACGGCACACAAAGCTCGCGAAAGACAATAGCGTGGTGCGCGTTTAACGACGGGAGCCCGGATCTGGGGTGTGGCAATGAAGTTGGTGAGTGAATTCCTAGGGCAACTTTGACCTGAGTGAGAGGAAAGTGGTGGCCAAATACAAGGGCAGAGGAAGTGAGAAAGCACGAGTTGGAAGGTTGGGTGGCTGCTTGCACCTTCATTCGCTAGGCGTTGCATTACATAATAAGCACGCATGACCTAATCATTCATTTCGGACGTGGCTTCCTTTGTGGCGATCCCGGCGACGCTCGGACCATGTGCGAGACGTGGTTCATTCTCTGCGGCCCTATCAGCCACTAGTGACCAGTGCCACCGCATGCAGTTTCGCGGTAGCACATGCGCCTGAGGCTAAGCCGAATTAAGCATCGACCCCTCCATGCGCCTAGCTTGATTGGCAGTGCGGATGGGCGACGTCAGTCGGCGCGAGGCCACTCTTGCGACTCCCAGTCGAGGCGAGGCCTTGAGTCAATCGGGGTGTGAAGTCTTACCGCGTTCTATGTCGCATCGTTCCGTGGACCAGACATCCGCCGAGCCCATCGCATCCCCCGCCAGACATGCCGGATGTTTCTCAAGCAAATCGACCTGACGACTGCCCTTCGGCCCTCGTACCTTGCGGATGAAGTGCTCCTCTGCCTCCAGGACAATGTGGGGCTCTACGAGGGGTGAGCTGCTGCCCATCCTCGAGCGCCGCTTCGTGGCAGAGCTGACGCCTTCGCGGCTGCTTCCCGTCCAGAAAGTACAAGCTGCCCAAGCAGCAGGACGGCCAAGTCTACCTGACGTCGCACCGTATATGCTATGTCGACAAGGCTGAGCCCAGGAAGCACTCGGTCGCCCTGGACCTAAAGGATGTGGAACGCTACGAGTTCTATGTACGCATGTGCACCGCATTGTAGTCCTCCCGCCGCCGTGGCATAGAGATGCTAAGACGCCTTCGCATGGACGCAGGCCGGCTTTCTGAAATCCTCGGCAAAGATCACACTGGTGCCAAAGCCGAGTAAGCGCCGCTCGACCCTACAGCCGCGATCGCGGGCGCGGTCCTCCGGCTCGCCCCTGCGCAACGGCGCGTCGCCGCCCGCGTCCCGGCCCGATGGCGCTGCGAGAGGCGGCGTGGCGGGACCCCCGGCGACGAGCACGGCAACCTGGGTATGCACTATCTGTAGCTTCTCGAACCCAGTGCCCTCCAACTTCGACCCGGCGACCGCAAACGCGCATACTCCATTACCGCCATGTCTGGCTTGCGGTATCAAACCCGCCCTGACGCACGTACTGAAGGCGGCCATCTCCAACGCCACAAGCCGGCCTCCTCTCTCGGTACCACTCCCGCTCCGCCCGCAGGCACAGACGGTTGTTAGCCACGGCTATGGGGATGATACTTCCAATAGCAGTCGTGGTGGTTCTGCTACAACTTCTAGCGAGGAGGCTTCCTTCCAGTGCCCAAGGTGCACCTTTCTGAACCACCCGTCGCTGATGTCTTGTGAGATCTGCGGAGCACCGTTGGTCTCGCAGGATGTGCCTGCTCAGTTGACCGCCGTTGAGCCTAGAACCGAATCGCCCGGACTGTTTCTGACTCCTGTGGGAAACCACCCTGGGGTGGAAAACCCAGAGAGCGTCAAGCTATCCTTCAGAGGTGGAGGAGAGAAGGTGTTTTACGAGCGCCTCAAAGGGTCCATGACACAGCGCAAATGGCTTCTACAAGACGCGCCGCCAATACCCAGGTCAATGCATAGCACCGGCGACGGGGATGCGGGTTCGCCCTCACGATCCACGCCTGGGGCCGACCGCGTCAGAACTGCTGGAATCGCGGGGCTGGAGAAACGTGGCCTCGAGATGCGAAAGAACAACGAGATGGTCATCGGCAGCGCCTTTGAAGATCTTGAGGCCCTGATGGCTTCGGCCAAGGAGATTGTGGCTCTTGCCGAGACGTTTGCCCGCCAGGTCAACAACAGCGGCGGGCCCGGATCATCTGAGGCAAGCAGACTTCTTGCCGAGTCTGCCAGCCAATTGGGCCTGGTGACAACCAAGGATGTCGTTGGAGGCAACAGTTCCGAGTCGTTGTACATCTCGGAGCTGGCAAGAAACCTGGCCGAGTTTCTCACGGATGACTCCCGGGGGATCTTGAAGCGATCAGGAGGCATCATCAGCCTTGTAGACCTATGGGCAATGTTCAACCGCGCACGGGGCGGCGTAGAACTGGTCAGTCCCATGGACCTTGAGAAGGCTGTGCGGCAGTGGGAGAAGCTGCAGCTTCCGGTTCGACTGCGCACCTTCAAAAGTGGCGTCATGGTCGCGCAGGGCGCTGACAGAACCGACGAGAGCACCGTCAAAACTGTCCTGGCGTGGATGAAGGACCTCCATGAGTTTCCTCCGGATAGGGAGGTCGCCTGGAACTGGCACGAGTTTGGCCGGGGCGTGACTGCACAGGACGCGGCCGAGCGCTTCGGGTGGAGCATCGGCGTGGCCGAGGAGGAGCTGGAAATGGCCGAGGAGCGTGGCGTGCTGTGTCGCGAGGAGGGAATCGAGGGCCTCAAGTTCTGGGAGAATTTTATCGACACGGGTGAGGGTCTCAGTCCTGCACAGCTCGAAGCCAAGGAGGCAAAGGAGGCCCAGGCGGTCATGTATAGGGCTCTGAAGGATACAGGTCTTATTTGAGTGTTGGATGCTATGGGGCTATACACAAGCCGATGTCTCGTTGAGAGTTGGAATAAGAACAAACCACGATGGGAGATTCGAATGCCAGGAATCCGAGCGACAACAGTTGTATTTCCCGGTACCTGTTCAGTTCATGTGGCATGATTCTTTCTTCTCTATCAAAAGTCTACTCGTTGATGGCTCTAACAATCAAACCTATGGGTATCCGACGACGGAATCTGAGAAAGCAAGGAGCAATGCGAAGCTAAGCATAAACAAAAACGCCAAAGACAGCCTGAACGAGGCTGGCCGCCCTTCTATCCCTCTCAGCGCTGCTTTGTAACAGCCCGAGCCCAAAATAACGCCTCTTTATGACCTGGGGGAGTGTTGTACAGCCGGGTTGTTGGGAAACCCGAGAGGGGAGAGTATGCCATGTTGGCGGTTGATGGGGGGAAAAAGAAAAAAGGGAAACCGATTAGGGATTAAAACAACGCAAAGTGAGCAGGGCTCGAAGGGAAGCTATACCAGCTTGTCCATAAAGTGCCGGCGGACCTTGTAGTTGACGACGCCGCCGACGCCAAAGGCCGGCACGATCCTGCACACGCGGGCGGCAACGCTGATGGCCCAGTTGCTCCGGACGAGGCCCCAGCGCTCGGCGGCGGTGGGGCTCGCGGCGGCGGCGGGGCAGGCGGCGCAGTAGCGCGGGCGGTTGTAGAGGTCGAGGCCGAGCAGGTGCATCGGGGTGGTCAGGATCTGGGCCGCCGCGGGCGCCGCAAACTGGGCCAGCGTCTGGCCCGTGAACCTGCGGCGGGCCTCAGTCGGCAGGCGAGCGTCGAGCCAAGGGGCCAGCAGGACTGGCACGTTGAAGGAGGCGAAGATGGTGAGGCAGTCGCGCGCGGTGAAGAGCAGGTACGACGGTAGCGGCACGGGCCTTGGCGTGGCCCCCGGCGGGCCGAACATGCGCGCAAACACCTGGTCCTTGTAGATGCCCAGCCCCGTGTTGGCCGTGGACGAGGCGGCGAACTTTGCCGTGCCGCTCGTCACGAGCGTGGCGGGCCCGCCGCGCACCGTCGACGTGGCCGTGTCGAGCGCGTTGGCCGTCAGGTACGTGCCGCCGTAGACCATACAGATGAGGGCGAAGGGCCGCGCGAGCACGATGGTGTGCGGCCGCAGCACCAGGTTGAGCAGCGAGCTCTTGATCGAGTCCGCCAGAGACCGCCGGCCCGACGCGTTCTCCATGATGGACCTGATGACGTTGGTCAGCCTCCCTGCCGCCCTCTGGGGAGATTTCTGTGGGTAGCAAGCATCACAAGCGGCTGCAGCTCACCTGTCGATGATAGATATCAGCGGGGCAACCATGGAGGCGGCCGCGCCGGCACTGACGGCATCTGCGCCGAGACGCCAGCCGAGATTCTTGGTGTTCCATTTGCGGCCAGCGGTCGCCGGCCTTTGTATCGGCGTCGCCATGTCGATCTTTTGGCCAGCAGTGGCCGTTGCCAGCGAGGTCGGCGACAGGCCAGCGGCGCGTTCCAGCTTGAGCTGCGGCGCGGGCTTTGAGCCGTCGGCGGGTTCTTGCATGGCCGAGTCTGTGCTGAGTGGCTCTTGCAGGCGGTGTAGTATACCAGTCCTCTTCTCACACTCTCAAGACCACCACGAAGATGGGATGGCGTGCTCGTTCATGCAAGGAAGGTGGCGGAGAAAAGAGGATGGCGGGCTGGCTGGAGACCGAAGCTCGCACCGCCAAAACCTAGGCGAGACGCTACCGGGCGGAAACAAAAGCAGGAAAACAAACCAGAAGCAATGTTTATCCTCGACAAGAAAACCGACTGACTACCAGGGATCTATGCTCGACACAACAGACAGGCAATAACCAAGCTGGCATCCATGGCAAATCCGCTACACGCAGCGTATTCTTCTGACACTGGCCATTGTCTGCCGAAAACTGCCGTCTGAGAGTCTCGATCGCACCTTGCAGAGGCCGGGCGCGTAAGCAGCAGCGTGGGATAGATGCGCCTGTCGTTGGTCGATAGGAGCTTCGGGAGCTTTTGACGCGATAGGTTGACAGGCTGGGCATCCTCAGCTGGTAAGAAAGAAAAAAATCCAGCCAGTGCCTATTTGGAGTTTGGTCAGTGCTTCCGATATCGGCTGACGCACGATAACAGGGGCCAGCCCAACCTTACAGGCCGTCTCGCCTGTCAATCCACCAACCTCGAATGTCTGTTTGTCACCTAACTTTTACATGCGCAGTGACTCTTGTCGCAAGGACACTGACAAAACAGTACGTAACATGTAACAATAAAAGACAAAGAATACACAAGCAAACGTCACTTTTGCCGTGGACAAACCTCCCACCAAAATCCCAACTCGGTACGCCTCGCTCTTCCCCGTGTCGGGTTGCCGCCGGTTAATCCCGTACAGGCTCAGAAGAAGTTCATGGACTCGTCACCAAGATTATCGAAGCCGAAATGGAGTCTGTAAAGCTTCGTCTCGGAACACAAAAACATCTCGCGGCCGCCCGGAGAAAAGCAGAAATTGCTGACTCCGCCTGGGTTCCTCAAATTAGACCGGCTTTTGGAGAGAGGACCAGAGTGGCCAGAAGAGCCCAGATGTGTATGTGTGTGCGTGCGTGTGTGTGTGTATGTGTGTGCGTGCGTGTGTGTGTGTGTGTGTGTGTGTGTGTGTGTGTGTGTGTGTGTGTGTGTGTGTGTGTATATGTGTGTGTGTGTC